TTCAGTGTTACGGTATCTGAGTCAAATCCTGAGGAAAGAAAGTCGCTTCGTTCTCAAGTCTCCCTTACCCATTCCCAGAACTCTGTCTCGGAGATTGATAACACATTAAGCACGGGTAGCATTAATATACCAAGTTATGTCATCAAGTTAGGATCTACAGCCACAATAACATGCGAACTCAACAATTATTTACCACCGCATAGCAAAATAGAATGGTACAGAGGTAATACACAAATTGAGAAATCTCCTGGAAAGTTGGATCGCATTAGTCACGATCTTTTGGAAGTGCTCATCATTAACGATGTTCAAATGGAAGATAATGAGTTGTACAGTTTGAAGGTCAACGATGATATATTCCCAGTTGCCTATTTAATCGTAGAGGGGCCATCGACTGAGGAAATGTTGGGACAAATTCTCACTCCACCGCAAACGCAGTTTGTGATGGAGGGGCAGCCGACTGTGATCATGTGTCAAGTGAGCAACCCCAGGCAAACGGTAGAATGGCTGAAGGATCGGAAACCGCTCGAAGAGAGCTCAAGGTTGCAGCTGGAACTTTGCGAGGATGGCTGGAATCGTGTAGTGTTCTTGCAGACAAAAATGTCAGATCAGGGCACATATTACGCAGTACTTGGTCAGCATAGTGTTGCAATAACCTTGGTCGTTGAAGGTGTGTTTGCCTAAGTTTTGTTATGGTGTTTGGTGTGATGCGTGTTGCTATCTATTCAGAGCGTATCGATGAGAAGGAGGTTACTGTGGTTGCATCTGGAACGGAAAGCGAGGATGATGACGTTCAGGAGTATCTCGTCCCGCCAGGAAGTACGGCCACAATCGCTTGCGAGCTGGAAGACGGCGAGAGAGTGCACACCTTAATTTGGCTTAAAAATGGCCAACCCATTGTGTTCACTGACCCCAACAAAATGGAACATGTGGTGAATGGCCTCAAGCATTACCTTGTTATTCACGACTCTTGTCCTAAGGATACCGGAGTCTATAGTGTCTCCATCTCAAACACCGAATTTCGTGTGGCTCATCTGGCCGTTAATGACTTGGCCACATCTTCTCAAGGTCTTCGTCGAAAACGCATTTCAAATAATTCATTACACTAACACTTTCAGTAGCATCTTATTTCTCGAATCATTCAGTAAGGTTCCGAGGGGGGAATCTCGGATCTCGTTTTTTGTATATATCTCAGTGATTATTTTATTGAACGGCGACGCTGTGCTCATACTAACCTCAACACTCATCAATATTTATTTTCAAGCATATGAAGATTACTCATGTCGTTGCTTATGTCCACAAGAAGGATTTAAAAATTGAAGTTTATATAATAAACTCGTGAAATTTAGCAGAGGAACCAGCAGAGGAGACGTGCGTGCCAGCAGGCGCTATTGCAACAATTAATTGTGAAACAATCACAGAAGAGCATAATATCGAGTGGCTAAAGGTTTGTGGGTTGTAGTATAAAACACAGAATTCCAAAGAGAATAACAGTCCTTGGGAGCCTCTAAGCGGTTCATTTTTCAATATTTTAACAATTTAAACATGGTGCTGCCATGTCCTCGTCAGCTTTGATTAGTAGCGTTTGAGACATCAGGAGTATAGACGTAGGACTAAAGCTACTCTATGCTATCTTTCTATCGCCTAACAGCTTTCGGAACATTTGTTGTCTAAATCGTGATATATTGAATGTACACTACGCTTCATTACTGCGTTAATTTACTCTTCTGTGGCAATTGCGGCGACATAGGAGCATACATATAGACTTATGGTTAGCTTGGAAAAACAGCAAGTAAAATAATCTATGCATACTGCCATCCTTAGGGAATTTGGAAAAGATTTTGATTTTTTGCCTGTTTCACTCTTCAAGTCTACTTACGGAAAAGATGTGGCACACCTCTTTTTGCACAAGTTTGGCTTCAAATAAAAAACTCGCAGTTATCAAAAGTTGCTCAAAAATTTATAGGAAAGTTTTCTACGTGTATTTTACAATTTGATGTTTGCAGCTTTTGAAACAATGACTCCTTATCTCTCGCAACATAAGGGATCTGCTCAGCCTCACGGTAATTAGCTTGGTTTGGGATTTATAGGCTTGCAACATTGCGCGCGTATCACCATTACAAGTTGCTCTTTCATGCTATTTGACCAATAGTATTCTCTCCCAACGGTTCTAAAAACGGCGTTATTGGTCTAAGATGATTCATCCATCTAGTTCAACATTATACAGATGTCGATGCAGGCACACAATCCTTTGCGTCGATAGTTTGTAAAGTACTGCTTTAGTAGTTGCTGGCTTAAAATAATAAAATCTCCTAGCACTTAAGCTCATCTAGAAATTTAATACAAGCATGCTTGTCCATATGAAAGAATGAGTTTCAGCAATGAAGGCCATATTTGAAGTTGTTTTAACGACAGTCTAATAACATGGAATGATGAAACAACTGAGTTGAAGTATTTAGAAAGTTTGA